TCGATCGTGAGATCGATAGTGAGATCGATAGTGAGATGAATAGTGATATGGATTGTGAGATCGAGTGATATTGATAGGGAGGTCGCTACTGGGATCGATAGCGAGATCCAGTGTGAGATCGACAGTGAAATCGATCGAGTGAGATCGATAGTGAGATCGATCGAGTGAGATCGATAGTGGGATCGATGGTCCCATCGATCGTGAGACCGATAACCACATCGCTTGGAGGCCTCTTGGGGGGTCTTGGAGCCCCCCAAGAGGCCTCCAAGACCCCCCAAGAGGTCAAAAAAACATGCCTAAATGGCCCACCAAGCCCTTGCAAAATGAACTAAATCAATGATTGTTTCGTTGGTTCCCGGGGGGGGGGGGAGAATGATACCAAGGCGCCCAAGAGCGAAGGATGACGTAAACAACTCGACACCAAGGCTCCCAAGAGCGAGCGGCAAAGCAACAATCACCACTGTTGCCCATTGCTGGCCGCCTCTCCCCCCCAAACCTCCTTATCACCCGCAGGGTGGTCGTATAGGTATGTGACATGCCGCACATGCCGCAAATATTGTTCATGGCTGCTCCGCAACAAAAGGTCTCCCGAAAAGGACAACCTCCACCACCGCATCGCACATGACCTCGCCAACCGCTGGAGAATCATCAACGGGCAGCCGAACGCTTGAAAGTCGCCGCCTACAGATCTATCTGGCAAGCGTAAGGACGCTCGAGTGATTGAAGCGCCGCCACCATGCCATGGTCAGTTTTATCTACGATATCCGCATTGCTGCAGCTTCGAAGTTCTTTTTATTGCTAGCACCGCTACCATTCAGGGGCGATGACGATCACCCGTCGTTAATATTCAGAGGTGATGACTATCACCTATGGCCGAGCATGCTATTCTTGACAATTGTTTTGATCATAGCGCCAGCAGCGCTGATAGCTGAGAATATCCCACAGGCTTGTGTAGCTCATCCAATAATAGCCCGAAGCTCCCTGGTGCAAGCCGTGTCAGGCCTTTTGCCTGCCCCACTCGTGTGAGAAGTGCCGTGTCCAGCACTCTTGCACATCCGAGATAATGAAGCAGCGATCGAGCCAGAGTGTTCGACGCCCTGGGCCGCCCAGAGCGCCCAACCGGAGGAGTGTGAGCCTAGAAGACTCGCAGAGGTCACATAGGGTCCCCGCGGAGGCCCTCGTCACTCTCTCTCTGCTTCTCTCCCCCGTGCTTGCTATTGCCGCTCAGCTGTCCCTCCGCCGCTGCCCATTTGGCCCCATCAATTTTCGGGGCCCTTGGTCGATGAAGCTGCGAGCACGCTCAGCGAGCGAGAGATCAATAGAGATCCGCGATCTTCCATATCACACAAGGCAGACCAGAGGGCTTGCCAGCGCCAGCGCTAATCATCCAAGCATGTGCTCCCCGTTCGAGACCCTCCACACCACGCCCTTTTCCCCGTCGGCCACCTGGAACGCCTGTCGCTGTTCCCTACCTCCTCGCCCTTTCTGAAGAGAGTTGACCACTGAGGACAAGTCTCATGGGCACGGAGGGCGGGGGCGAGAGAAACAGCAAATAGCACCCTGCAGCTCCTTAAGCAGCAGCTACATTATGTACGGCGCCCATTCAGGTCCGCGGGGGAAAAAACATTATCACATCCTCATACCCCGCCTGGGACATTCAGAAAAACAGTGGGTGGAAGCTTGTCGGGGCGGAGTCCAACGCACTAGGGTAAGAGCGCGGAAACTGGCAAAGAGCCCTGCCTTCCTCCTCATCACCCCCGCCTCTTCACCATCACAAACCACGGGTCGGCCCAGCCTAGATCTTCTAGTAGCGGAGCTGAGTCCTGGACAGGGCCATGACGTTGCCAGCACTCCTGGGGGGACGCTCAAAGTACCCTCTGGCACCGATCCTGGCCAGGTCGACCCTGAGCCCTGGATCGATGAACGCGCCCTTCTGGCCTGGCCAGGAGAGCATATACAGCGATCCTGGAACCAAGATAGACCTGGCCACGTTCGGTGTAGGTGGACAGTTGGCGTTCCCCGAACGCCCGACCGCCATGATAAAGGCCAACCACGCCACGAACGTCGAGACTCTGCGTGTGAAACCCCGCTGGCCCCGCCGACTTTTCGCGTTGGGGCGAAGACTGGGTAACCTACGCTCACTCCAGTTCACCCCCCCAGGAGCAGGGAGCAGAAGGAATCGAGAGGCGGGCAGGAGAAGGGAAACATGGAGGGATTTTTCCAGTAGAGCGCAGATAATGAGAAAGCTTTGCCTGGAAGGGACACAAAGAGCAACAAACTTGCTGCAGTTATGGATGGCGGCAGGGATTGGACCAGCCGCTGCAGCACCTCCAGCTGGTGCTTGGTGATGACGTGAGGGCCGAAGGAGGCAACAGGGCAAGACTCCCGCAAGGAATGTGGGCGAGCAGCGGCACAATAGCCAAACTCACCGCAACAATTAAAGGAGCCCTTAGCCCAAAATCCGCCGATCCGGCGTGTGAGTTTCTGAAAGCGTGGGCTTGAGCTCGCTCAAGCTTCGCTCTGGATGGGAGGGGGGGGGACGTAAACGACGAAAACCAACGAAAGAATTGACACGCGAGGGGGAGGGGGAGAAGAGGGGGGGGGGGGCAGGAGAGAGGTGTGGGGGAAGGACAGGAGAGAGAGGGCGGGGAGGAGGGGGAAAGGAGAATGGGGGGTGGGGTGGACAGGAGAGAGAGGAGGGGGGGGGACAGGAGAGAGGGGGGAGGGGGGGGAGGCGGAGGGGGGGGGGGGGGGGGAAACAGGGAGGGGGGGGGGAAAGGCAAGCTAGGTGCGCTCGCGTCAAATCTGACATCCTACCCCTCCCTCCCATCCCTTACCATGGCGCAGATCCCCTCTCTACTCGCACAAGTCGGATGTCAAGCAGGGCTATGATCCCGAAAGGGTACGCGATGCATTGTAAAGCACGGCGTGGCATGGCGTAGAAGAGCACCGCGAAGCGTAGTACCAACCTGGCATTGCATTGCATGCCGTCGCATGGCAAGGGAAATGACGCCAGCGCTGCAGCGGGAGCGCGAGTCGAAACGAGCGGAAGCGCAGAAATGAAGCCACCGCTGCGGCGGGAGCACGAGTCGAAACGAGCGGAAGCACGGAAATGAGGCCAGCGCTGCAGCGAGAGCACGATTCGGAACGAGCGGGGCCCGAAAATGAGGCCGGCGCCTCAGCGAGAGCAGCATTTTGGGAAACAATGCAGGCGAAAACCTAATTCCTGGGAAGGCTTCCCTGCGCCAGAAGCAGGAATTCAGCATTTTCAAAGGAAAAATATGTATTAGAATGTCTTTTTTCGGCGCCGCCTCGGAACTCGATTTTCCGGCGCCAGCCGGAACCGGCTCCAGACCCGGCCAAGGCCCCGGCCTGGGCGCCGGCTCGGGCGTCCGGCCCGGGCGCCCGCTCGGGCGCCGGCCTGGGCGTCGGAATCGGCCCGGGAGGCCTCCCAAGCGCTGGAAGAAGAAATTCAGCATTTTCAAAAGAAACATGTGTATTAGAATGGCCTTTTTTCGGCGCCGCCTCGGAACTCGATTTTCCGGCGCCGGCCGGAACCAGCTCCGGACCCGGCCCGGGCGCCGGCCCGGGCGCCGGCTCGGGCGCGCAGCCCGGGCGCCGGCGGAAATGATGCCAGCGTTGCAGCGGGAGCACGATTCCGAACGAGCGGGGCCCGAAAATGAGGCCGGCGCCCCAGCGAGAGCAGCATTTTGGGACAAAATGCAAGCGAAAACCCAACTCCGGGGAAACCTGCGTGAAAAACAACACGCGGGGGGGGGGGGGGGGGGCGAATATTCCCAAGACGTCATCAGGGGAAGGGGAGAATATTCATGTGGAATAATTATAGAGGGGGGGGGGATAGAGAGGGGGGGACAGGAGAGAGGGGGGGAACAGGAGAGAGGGGGGGGGTGGGGGAGGGAAAGGAGAGACGGGGGGGGGAGGGACAGGAGAGAGGGGGAGAGGACAGGAGAGGAGGGGAGGAGGGGGAGGGGGGGCTGGGATCACCACTCCATCACCATCACCATCACCATCGTCACATCACCATCATCATCATCACCACCACCACCATCACCATCACCATCACCATCCTCCTCCTCCTCCTCCTCCTCTCATCATCATCATCATCATCATCCATCATCATCATCATCATCATCATCATCATCATCATCATCATCATCATCATCATCATCATCATCATCATCATCATCATCATCATCATCATCATCATCATCATCATCATCATCATCATCATCATCATCATCATCATCATCATCACCATCATCAGCATCATCATCATCATCATCATCATCATCAGCATCATCATCAAGATGGTGTCCGTTAAGCCCCAACCCTGGAATTTTGAGACAGGGAGGCGAAAAGTTCGATAAAATCGCTTGGCTTGCTAATGACAGGCTTGCCGCCGAGCTCGGGCTCGGCGGGGGGCGGTGGGGGGGCCGCGAGAATCTGGAGCAAATTGGAGCAAAGAAACGGTTGCGGAGCAGGCCGTGCGGCACACGCGAGGGCACACGCACGGGGGCAAGCGGCCGCAAGCCACCGAGCCCTCCCGTTTTGCGGGGCCCGGGTCACAAGGCCGGGAGACTTGGCCCACAACCGCGCGATCCTCAGGGCCCCTAGGCTCCAATAAAACAAAAATTCCACGACCCCCCCTCAAACTGACAAGTCCCACATCACCACTCATGCTCTACGATTATTATCCCATGATGGTGTCCGTTAAGACCCAACCCTGGAATTTTGAGACAGGGAGGCGAGTTCGATAAAATCGCTTGGCTTGCTAATTACAAGCTTGCCGCCGAGCTCTTCCCGCCTCCGCTCGCGAGCTATCATGGGACCGCAGTTTGGCCCTGCGCCCGGCGCACCAAAATGTGCGGGGGGCCCCTTTGAAAGAGAAGGGACCTTGGGAACACGAAACAAAACCGAAAGTAAGCCTCTCGCCCGCCCTCGCCTGTGCCCCTACAAGATCATTTAGCTTGTGAATAAACTCACTGTCCGAACAGAAACAACTGTAGGACACTCTTCACTGCCAGAAAGAGAGCTCGAAACAGCCTACGACTCATGGTGATCCAGGCCCCCGGGAGCTTCGCGAGCTCGAGTTCGCGGTCGCTCATCGACATGTAGCGGATCGCGGGGAGGGGGAGCCTGGAGAGGGTCGAGTTGATGTGGAGGCGGATGGTGTCTCTCTCTGAGCCGAGGTCGCACTCGAGGCCGCTCCGCAGCGGGTTCGACCACTGCACGCTGAAATTCACGATGCGGTCGACCACGTGAACGCCGTAGAATCCAGTGGACAGTAGATCGTAGGTCATGTGGAACTCTCTGCACTGGCCTGGCCACACCATCATTGGCCATCTCTCTGTTGCGCGCGGCAGTGTCACGGACGCTTCAGCGAGCGCGCTGGCCACCTGGTCTGCCCCAGGGGGGCGTGGCTCCACTGACAGAAACTCTCGTAGCACCCATTCCTGCAGTAACGCGGGGTCGTCGGCGATCCGCTCGGCGCGGCGCTGGTGTACACGGAGGTCGGCGATGTCCACGCCTCGCCACGCCTCCTGCAGGATGTTCGCTGAGTGGCGCGTCGAGGTCACGGCGAAGTCTTACACGCCTTGAGCAGCCGTGATCACGGCTCCAAGGCTGTGGTCGACTACCTTGCCCGCCGAGACCGACACGCTCGCAGCCACGCCCATCATGGCCCCGAAATGGGCCATCGGCCCGGACACGTACAGCCACGCGATCAGCCAGACGGCGACAGCCGCCCACGTCACGCCTCGCGTGGACGAGCGTCCGCACCACCTCGCCATGCTCCAGGCCGCGCGCAGCAGCGCCCAGCCGCCGGCCCTGGCGCGGCGCTGCCCTGCCGCCGCGGCCGCTCCCTGCGGGCGCGCTGCCAGCGGCTGCAACGCGCCCAGGTTCGCTGGCGCTGGCCCCTCGACCTCGGCCGCGGCCGCCCCCGCTGCTGCATGTCCCTGCTGCGGCGGTCCCGCCAGGATCCCGTCCACCAGCTCGCCCAGGTCCGGCGCTGGTGGCGGCGCTGGCGGCGGGCGCGCGACTGGCGCAGGGGGGGCCACTCGGCGGCCCCCCGCCAGTGGGGCTGGCGGGCGCCCAGGCACTGGGGGCACCCAGGACCCGTCCTCCCCCTTGCGCCAGCCTGTCGGCGGCATGCTTGCCGCACGCGTCCTCGCCGAAGATGCCCTGCGGGAAGTAGCTGGGCAGCTGCTCGGACGCCTCTCGCACGAGCGATGCGATCCCTCGCTGCTCAGCCTGCGCCAGTACTCGAGAGGCGGTGACAACGTCCACGTAGATGCGGAGGCTGGACTCGGTGAGCCGCCGTCCCGCCTCCTTGATCTCCTGGAAGGGGATACCACGAGCCACGGAATCGCTTGCATAGCCCGCCCGCGCCGAGTGGGGCGTCCAGTGGATGTCGAGGCCAAGGGTTGCTTCAAATTGCCTGAGCCGATGCCTGTAGTCGACGAGTGGGTAAGGGAAGAGGAGGCCCTCTGGCGGAGTTCCTAGGACTACTCGATGCAGGAGGTCCTCCAACATTCCACCTCGCTCCAGTATAATGGCAAACTGCATCCTCTTGGCCTTTGTCCCTGCTTTGGCCCCCAAGTTGATTACCCAGTTCGGTTGCAGGTCCGGTCCCCCTCTAGACGATGGTAGAGATATGTCTTTTGCTCGTAACTGCAACACCTCTGATGGTCGCAGGCCGCGGTCAACCTGCAGCAGCAGGCCTACTCCCAGCCGCGGCACACCCCAACATGCAAAGTAGATTGCGGCAAGGTTGGCTGGCGCGCGCCCAAGCGGCGGAGCGTGCTTGACCTCAGCCGCGACTCGCCATGCGTCTATCACCGAGTGGGACCACGTTAGCCTCCTCCTCAGGCGTGGGAACACAAACTCCACTGCAGTCTCGGTATACTCGAAATTGCACTTTGTCATCTGCAGGTCGCTCTTGTATTCTACCAACAGGTCGTCCCACTGCTCGGGCCCGTCGGGGACAAAGCCGTTCTCGTCCAAGTAGGTCACAAACTTCACCGCCGCTGCCCTGCATGCTGCCAGGGTACGCGGCTTCACCTTCTCAACAGAGGTGCTGTCCAGCTTCCTCGGCCCCGACATGATGGAGGCCGCGAAGCTCAGCACGGTTCAGGCACCTCGATATCTTATCGGCAGGCTGCCTGAGTGTCTCCACCCATGGAATCAAAATCTTTGTGCGTGATGCTAGCCCTGCGGCAGTCTTCTGACGCAGCAGGTGGTTCAACTGGTGGGCTGGGGACCTCCCTTTGTTCGCCGCACCCGACGCTGGCTGGTTGTCCTCCAAGATCGGGAGCACGGTGCGGTGGAGGGCGGGTGTTGCAGCCGCCAGGCGACTCATCTTCACGACGCAGCGCCCCTCTCCCAGGGTGATGCAGTCGGCTGAGCGCCACCTCCCCTGGCCCACGATCGTCCAGTCCTCGTCGGGTTTGAACACTCGGTCGGGCAAGAGGCTGAAGGGCTTCGTCCTCCTGATCATCTGCTCTGGGCGCCTCAGCCCAGTCAGCTCGCCGTCCAGCCGTGCCACGGTGTAGCCCAAGCTGCCGCCCGTGTCGATGAAGTCCTGCGCGATCTCCTTGCTCAGGTTGGTCACCAGGACCCCCCAGCCCCCGTCATCCTCGGCGTTCGCGCCCATGGCGTCCGCGGCGAAGTAGACGGGCGCGGGCGGGGCTCCCAGGTCCGCGTACATCAGTGGCACCACCTCGGCGATGGCCCGCAGCCCCCTGCGAACTGTCGCCCAGTTGCCCACCCGTTGACGCGGGTACCTCTCCAGCAGGCGGAAGACCGCGCTGGGGATGCACAGCACCTCTCGTCGTAGCAGCGCACCCCAGATCCAAATTCCCAAGAGCGAGCGCAGCTCCTCCGTGTCCACGGTGCGCGCGCCACTCATCAGCTCAAGCTGTTGCACCAGCTCTCGGGCCCTCGTCGGCGGCAGCCGAAGTTGAGCTGGTCGCGCCTGCGGCGCGTAACCCAGCACCTTCCGCATGTCACAGGCCTCCGTGCGGTCGGTGACCACGAAGCCCGCCTCCGTCAGGGCGTCCGCTAGCTGGTGCATTGTCTTCGTCGCTCGCGAGCCGCCGTCCAGGCCTCCCGCCATCGCCACGCCGTCGTCGACGCGTAGGTAAAAGGCCATCTGCGGTCCGTCCAGCACGAGCCCACGTCCTCGCAGCACGTCCTCGTTCCTCACGGCCACGGGGGGGGCGGTCGTGCTGCGAGTGCCCCAGGCCGCCACCGTCCTGTCCGCCTCGGGCGGCCGTCGCCACCCCGTGCCACCCAGGCCGCTCTTCTCAAAACAGGTCAGGGTCTGAACTATCATGCTGCCCAGCGCCTCGCACATCGCCGCGGGGTACTGTGCGAGAGGTATCGTGCGAAAGGTCCCGTCGGCCAACTTGCCCTCGGCGGACTCGTGGGAGTGGGGGCCGTCGCATCGTAACTCGGTCAGGGCATCCATGCCCTGCAGCGCGCCACTGAGACAGGTCGGCTTCCTGGTTCGCCCGCCCAGCATACACTGGTCCAGGCGCGCTCTCTGGGCGGAGCGTCGCTTCTCGAAATCTAACATCTCCTTGGTGTTTCAAATGGATGGGTAGGGCTCTCGCCCTGGGTCCTCCGGGCGCTCGATGAGGGAGGCGCCGCCGCTCTGGCCGCGCGCCTCGCAGAGCGCCAACAGGTTCAGCGTCAGAGTGTTGCTCTCTGCCACCCTCTCGGCCTCCCGCGCTCTCAAGCCTGGCAGGCCCCGCGGGCAGAGCCGCGAGCGGGCGGGCGGCGGGCCTGGCTGCCGACGATTGTAGCGCGCCCTCGACCAGGTCGAGCACGGTGGACCACCCAGCACGATGTCCACCCAACCACCCTCGCACAGCTCCATCAGCGCAGAGAAGGTGGCGGGGTTCGCCAGGCCCCACCTCGGGTCGTCCAGGAGGTCCGCGGAAAGGAAGAGTACGCGCATCCCGCGCTCCCGCGCCTGCCTCTCTACAACCTCCTGCACGTCGCCTCGTCGCCGACGGCCAGCATAGGGGTGCATCGCTACCATCGCCCGCTCGTCCTCTCTCTTCGCCGCCTTCACAGCTTCGATCCACCCGGCCACGCTGTAGCCCTCCAAGCTCGGTCGCCCTCCAGCCCCCCGCCCTCGGGCGGCGAATGCCCTGGCGCGCCGCCTGCCACGGCGGCCGCGGGGGGGCGCGACGCCCTGGGGCGCCGCCAGGCGGGCGCCCACGCCCAGCAGCGCCTTGCCGATGATCGCCGTATTCACCGTCATGAGCAGGTGCACGGAGCGCGAGCCTCCCATGGCCAGCCTGTGGTAGCAGGGTGCCACCCAACCCGCAGGCCCCACCAGGTCGCGGGTCCGCTGGCTCAGCTTCTCCCACACCCAGCAGGCCCTCAGCGGCGGGCAGGCCTGCCACCTGGCCATCCAGGCGGGCACCCTGAGGCGAGTGAAGGCGTTGCCCTCGTCGAAGGCCGCCACGCCCCACATGTCGGTCGGGGCGCGCATGGAGGCCATCGCCGCCCCGCCGTGCATCCCGTGGTCCCCGCGCTGGTGGGGGTCCGCCCACGCGTAGTTGCTGGCGCACATCATCAAGACCTTCCGCTGCTTCGTCGGGTCCTTCTTCGGTACGCAGCTGAACCCACAGTAGGCCTGAACATCGCAGGGGGCCTCGAACGTCCACATATCCTTCGGCAGGTCATCCCGCATCAGGTAGCGGGCGTGCTCCGACGTCGAGCCCCCCACGAACGCAAAGCGCTCCTCCAGCTCCTCGAAGATGACTCCCGACTTCCCGCTGTAGTCGAGGACGTTCAGCTCGTCCGAGTAGCACTGCCGCTCACCCTCGGGTAGCGCCTCCAGCAGATCGACGACATGGTCGTCCGGCGGCTCGGCCACGGCCGATGCGCACATCATCACATGCTTACTCGCACTCTTACGCTCTCCAGTGTAGGCGTCCTGCGGCCCTCTATCGTGGGCGAGCTCCGCCCCGTGGCCGCCTGTCGGGGCGAGCCCCCGGCAGTCGCGCTCGTACCGCGCCGCGTCCTGCAACGCGTACTGCTGCGCGAGCTTCCAGGCCAGCATCCTCTCGTCGCCCCGCGCTTCTCGCTGGCCCGTAGGTCTCGCCTCCAAGGATCCGCAGCCCATCCCGTTCATGAGCTCGATGAGCCCACAGGCCCGGCGCCGCGCGCGCATTCGTCGAGCCCGTCGTGTCCTCAAACGGCCTGAAGAGGTGCACCCTTGCATCGGTCGAGCTGGCAGAGGCACCGGGAAGAAAGACCTGGCGGCGGCCTCCTTCCACCGCGGGGCCCGCGCAAGCGAGCCTGGTGAACCTGTCGCTGGCATCCCTGGCTGCGCCCGCTGTTGCGGGGCACCGACACGGACCGCGGGGGGGTCAGTCCCACGGTCCGCCAGCAAACGTCACGCCTGTGGCTTGCCGCGGCCAGAGGGCTTACCCCCTCGACCACGGCCGCGGCCACCGCCCTCTCCTCCTCTGCCTCTGCCTCTGCCGCCGTCGCTGCCGCCGCCCGAGCCGCCGCCGAAGCTGGGCCCGCGGCCGCTGCCTCGGCCCTCGCGCTTGCCTGCGACGGCGACGCGCTCGTCTCGCTGGTGCTCCGCCTTGCTGTGGGCGGTGGCCTCGGTCACCAGCCAGGCGGGCGCCAGGGCCGTGGCGGACCCCGGCGGCCGCGCCGCCAGCATGGCCGCCGCCCCCACCTTGTCCTTCGTCCTCAGCTCGTAGACGTAGCTCGCCAGGCGGCGCAAGTGCAGCTCGAGCGCATCGTCCGACGCGAGCCGCGTCAGCACCTCGGACTGCGTCCTGCAGCCGCCCAGCAGGTAGTCCACGTTGGTGGCCGCCGTCCAAAGGTCCGCCCAGACTGCCGTGTGCCGCTGGCCTGTGACCTCCTGCGACAACCAGTCCCTGGCCCTAGCACTCGCCGCGCCCGCCCCGCGCATGGAGCGGTAGATCTCTGGCGCTGCCCGCTTCAAGTCCGGCGGGAGGCTGAGGTTCCACCGACTGTCTTCCTGCTGCTGCTGCGCTGAAGGCGTCCAGCTCCAGTCTGGGGCGGCCTGCATGCCTCCTCCGTGCGGCGCCGCGGTCGTGGCCACCAGCGCCTCCAACTCTTGCGGCAAGCTCCCCCTCTGGGGGGGACTTAGTTCCCGCCACCACGTAGCCGTGCGACTGCAGCAAGCGTTGTAGGTCGGGGTGGGGGCCTCTGGAGGAGCCCACGGCTGCTATGCGCTCCCAGAAGTGCCACGCCCAGCACACGTTCGTCGCAGCCTGGGCCTGGAACTCGGTGAGTGTAGCTCGCACCATCTGCGCCTCCAAGGATCCGCAGCCCATCCCGTTCATGAGCTCGATGAGCCCACAGGCCCGGCGCCACGCACGCATTCGTCGAGCCCGTCGTGTCCTCAAACGGCCTGAAGAGGTACACCCTTGTATCGGTCGAGCTGGCAGAGGCACCGGGAAGAAAGACCTGGCGGCGGCCTCCTTCCACCGCAGGGCCCGCGCAAGCGAGCCTGGTGAACCTGTCGCTGGCATCCCTGGCTGCACCCGCCGTTGCGGGGCACCGACACGGACCGCGGGGGGGTCAGTCCCACGGTCCGCCAGCAAACGTCACGCCTGTGGCTTGCCGCGGCCAGAGGGCTTACCCCCTCGACCACGGCCGCGGCCACCGCCCTCTCCTCCTCTGCCTCTGCCTCTGCCGCCGTCGCTGCCGCCGCCCGAGCCGCCGCCGAAGCTGGGCCCGCGGCCGCTGCCTCGGCCCTCGCGCTTGCCTGCGACGGCGACGCGCTCGTCTCGCTGGTGCTCCGCCTTGCTGTGGGCGGTGGCCTCGGTCACCAGCCAGGTGGGCGCCAGGGCCGTGGCGGACCCCGGCGGCCGCGCCGCCAGCATGGCCGCCGCCCCCACCTTGTCCTTCGTCCTCAGCTCGTAGACGTAGCTCGCCAGGCGGCGCAAGTGCAGCTCGAGCGCATCGTCCGACGCGAGCCGCGTCAGCACCTCGGACTGCGTCCTGCAGCCGCCCAGCAGGTAGTCCACGTTGGTGGCCGCCGTCCAAAGGTCCGTCCAGACTGCCGCGTGCCGCTGGCCTGTGACCTCCCGCGACAACCAGTCCCTAGCACTCGCCGCGCCCGCCCCGCGCATGGAGCGGTAGATCTCTGGCGCTGCCCGCTTCAAGTCCGGCGGGAGGCTGAGGTTCCACCGACTGTCTTCCTGCTGCTGCTGCGCTGAAGGCGTCCAGCTCCAGTCTGGGGCGGCCTGCATGCCTCCTCCGTGCGGCGCCGCGGTCGTGGCCACCAGCGCCTCCAACTCTTGCGGCAAGCTCCCCCTCTGGGGGGGGACTTAGTTCCCGCCACCACGTAGCCGTGCGACTGCAGCAAGCGTTGTAGGTCGGGGTGGGGGCCTCTGGAGGAGCCCACGGCTGCTATGCGCTCCCAGAAGTGCCACGCCCAGCACACGTTCGTCGCAGCCTGGGCCTGGAACTCGGCGAGTGTAGCTCGCACCATCTGCGCCTCCTGCCCTAGCTTCACAGCATCGGCAGGGGAGTGAGGGACATGAGCACTGAGGGCGGGGGGCCCGCCTGACACGGCAGCGCGCGTCCCGCCAAGCTGCTGGGCAGCCGTCTGGCTGAAGGGCCCAGTCACCTCCTCCCCCTTGCCGAAGGCCCGCAACGCCGCCACGTCCGGCGCGCCAGGCTTCTCTGGCGCCGTCCAGACCCCAGCGCCCTCGGCGGGTGGGGCCCAAGGCGGGTTGGGGAACGCGGGGAGGCCAGGCGGCGGCACCTGCGGCCCTGGCCGCGGTTCCGCGCCCCCCTCGCCGTTCCCCGCAGCCGCCGCGCCAGGCGCCCCGTCTGCCACGGTCGCGCCCACGGCGTCCTCAGCCCCCTGAGTGGGCAGCCCGTCCCCGCCACGGCGGAGGGCCGCCGCGAACGCCGAGCGGCGGCTCCAGCGGGCCCACCAGGCGCTCGCACGTGCAGGCAGGCGGCGCCACAGCACGAGGCTGCCACACAGACCCCCAGCGGCGCCCGCGACTCTGTGCCGACCTGACTCTGCCATCAGTACGACCAGCCCACGCGCCACGAGGAGCCCCACCCCGATGTGCAGCACCCAGTCCAAGGGCTGCTCGTCGTAGTCCTCCCCCGTCGCGTGAGCCCAGATCCTATCGGCCACTCGATCCCAGCCAGCTTCGTCGGCACTCACTCGTCGTATCCGATTCTCGGCCTGAGTCCCGAAGGTGGGAGCCTCCGCGAAGCTCCACAGCGCACTGGCCATGTCGGTTCCAGGGAGCTCGGGGCACCCCTCGGCCAGGCGGACGGCCTCCGGGTCCAGCGCCGCCTCAAGCCGCCGCACCTCGCCCACCTTGGACCGTGGGGCTCGCCCCGCATTGAGCGAGGCGCGCACTCTCAGCACCAGCTCCGTGACGTCCTCCTCGGATACGTCGGCGCCCGCACCTCTCAACGCCTCGGAGCCTGCCTGACACGCTGCCGCTGAGACTGCTACTTCCATCACAGCGCCTCGCCAGCACGTGCGCCACGCGCACCTCCGTCCAGCGAGCGGCCCACACCGCCGCGGCCAGCTGCGTCCTGGGCAGCCCTGCCGCGGTCTCGCACTCGACTTCGTTCCACGGGTGGAGCCACGGGCTCCCTCAGGGCGCCATCGCGCGCGCCCTCGAGCGGGGTGGGCCGTCCGCCCTCTCCCCGCGAGAATCTGGAGCAGATTGGAGCAAAGAAACGGTTGCGGAGCAGGCCGTGCGGCACGCGCGAGGGCGCACACACACACGGGGGCAAGCGGCCGCAAGCCACCGAGCCCTCCCGTTTTGCGGGGCCCGGGGCACAAGGCCGGGAGACTTGGCCCACAACCGCACGACCCTCAGGGCCCCTAGGCTCCAGTAAAACAGAAATCCACGACCCCCCCTCAAACTGACAAGTCCCACATCAACACTCATGCTCTACGATTATTATCCCATCATCATCATCATCATCATCAGCATCAGCATCATCATCAGCATCCGCATCATCATCATCATCATCATCATCATCATCATCATCATCATCCGGAGCGTCCTGGATCGGCGGCACTGGCCGGAGGCCACTACAATATGGGACGGGTGGATGGGCCTAACGCCGCCACCCAAGGGGCCGCCCGCTCAGGGAGCGGGTCGAGCATCAGCCTCCCCCAGAGGACGTGAACGCTCGGCGGCAGGGACTGCCTCGGCCGAGGCGCCCATCTCAAGTTACGAATCCCCTCGCCACCATCCACACCCGACCCCAGTCCCGAAACCCACCCCCAAATCAGGAGCAGGGCACGCCGAGCGAAGGCGCAGCATCAGAAACCCTGACCTTGCAATGGCCGCACGTCCAGAAACCCGACCCAGGTCCCAGGAACGGGAGGATCCCGAGACACGCAGCGATCCAGCGCTGCCGCCTCCACACCAGGCAAAGGGGCCGCTTGCTGAGTCGACGATCGGACTCAGCCTCGAGGCCTTGCACACTCAAGAATGGTGGCAGCATTGCGCTTCAAGGTGCAACAGGCCTGCTGGGTAACATCGTTATGGCAAGGTATAACAGCATCTGAGGATTGGCACTCGGCCGCTCTAAGGTCGGCTAGTTCGTCGACAATATAATCGAGGACCACTTGGCCCAAGTCGACGGAGTCGGCAAACCTGGACGTCTCTAAATCGTCCTCCAGCGAGTGGCTGGGGGCATGTGGCACCGAGGTAGCTCAATAACTACGACCAGAGATCACAACATTAGCAAGCTTGAAGGAGGCCGCCTTGCCTCTGAGAAAGCCTTATCCAGGCTGGCATGGTCGGAAACAATGTGCGGGTCGTGAGTAGGATCAACTGGCCAAACGCATCCGCCAACGGCAGCCAGGTCAGCTTTGGGCACTGTCTGCCGCAGAAGATCTAAGACACCAGTGGCCCGCAGTCCCAATCAAACTCGAAACCAAGCTTGCGACGCAAAAAAAAATCAGACCACCAGAAAGTCGGCAAACTTGCCTCCTGGGCCACCCGTAACGTGTAACCCTACGGGAGGGAACCAAGGAAAAGGGTCCCAGGACGACGGCGCCCCTGGAGCCCCGTGGGGGAGGGAGCAGGGGGGAGATTAAGCCAGGAAGCCTGAATAAGCCCTCGGACCCAAAAGCAGGGAAACTGGTCG